CCCTGACCCCATCCTCCCCTCCCGGCCTCCACACAGCCCTGACCCCATCCTCCCCTCCCGGCCTCCACAGAGCCCTGACCCCATCCTCCCCTCCCAGCCTCCAGACATGGAGCCCTGGCCGGGGAACTATGTGTGCTCCCAGCCTCTGAAGGTGTCTGGGCTTACCTGGCTCCTCTCTCATCCCAGTCCCCTTGAGTAGCCACGGAGGTGGGGTCCCTAAGGCCCACATGGCTGAGGTTCCATTAAGAACTTCAAGTGGGGCTGGGCTCAGGGGCTCACACCTGTAATTCCAGCACTTTGGGAGGCCAAGGCAAGAGGATCACTTGAGCCCAGGAGTTTGAGACTAGCCTGGGCAACATGGTGAGACCTCATGTGTATTCGTCTGCTCTCATGCTGTTAATAAAGACATACCCAAGACTGGGTACTTTTTAAAGAAAAAGAGGTTCAATGGACTCAACAGTTCCGCGTGGCTGGGGAGGCCTCACAATCGTGGTGGAAGGTGAAAAAGGAGCGAGGTCGTGTCTTACAAGAGGGCGTGGACAGGGAACTGCCCTTTATAAAACCGTCAGGTCTCGTGAGACTCTTCACTATCACAAGAACAGCACCGGGAAAAGTCGCCCCCATGATTCAGTGACCTCCCACCGGGTCCCTCCCATGACGTGGGGATTATGGGAGCTACAATTCAAGATGAGATTTGGGTGGGGACACAGCCAAGCCATATCACCATGTCTACCAAAAATTGAAAAATGAGCCGGTGTAGTGGTGTGTGCCTGTGGCCCCAGCTGCTCAGAAGGCTGAGGTGAAAGGATCTCTCGGGCCCGGGGACCAAGGCTGCAGGAAGCCATGATTGTGCCACTGTACATCCAGCCTGGGTGACAGTGAGACTTGGTCTCAAAAAAAAGAGAGAAAATAAAAGCAAGTGGGCGGCGGCTGAATGTGGAGACAGGAGTTGTCCCTTGTGAGCGCGGCCCTGGTGCTGCTGATTTCATGGGGAGCCTCCAGTCAGGGGAGCAGCAGCTGGGGAGAGCTGGGGCCTCTCTCACCTGCCTTCCCCCACATCACACATGCCCCCTCTTGTGTGTGTCCACACTCACACACGTGTTCCCCTGCCCCATGCTCATGTGTGTCTGTATTCTCACACGCGTGCTCCCCTGCCCCACGCTCACATGTATCCTCGCTCACTCTCACACGCGTGCTCCCCTGCCCCACGCTCACATGTATCCTCGCTCACTCTCACACGCGTGCTCCCCTGCCCCACGCTCACATGTATCCTGGCTCACTCTCACACGCGTGCTCCCCTGCCCCACGCTCACATGTATCCTCACTCTCACACGCGTGCTCCCCTGCCCCACGCTCACATGTAACCTCGCTCACTCTCACACGTGTGCTCCCCTGCTCCACGCTTACATGTATCCTCGCTCACTCTCACATGCATGCTCCCCTGCATTCTCCTGTTGAACTGAGCTGACCTCAGTGGGGTGCTGCAAGCCAGGGCCTCACACCGGCCTCTCGCCCTCCACAGCCCTGGGGTCCAGGCTCCTGCAGGAACAAGCGCAGGCCCCCGGGCTCCCTGGAACCTCCCGGAAGGCAGCAGAGGGTCACGGGGGTCACCCGCAGGGGCGCAGGGAGGCCTCGTCATGACCGGATTCCAGCCAGGCTGGCCTGATGCTCCTGGGGGTCCTCAGCACACGCCCCTTCGCCCCAGCATGTGCTTCTTTCCGGGAAACCCACACTCCAGCTGAGCGGAGCCGTCCCCTCCAGGTCAACAGCACCCGGGGTGGCTCTACAGCGCCCCACTACGCGCCTGCACAGGGACGGTGGCCCCAATGCCCTTTGTGACTCGCTGGTTAATGAGAAGCCGGTGGGGAGGTGCTGCCGGTGAGCGAATAAAGGCCCTGTCCTTTCGTCTGCCCAGACAGGAGCATCAGGACCAAGCTGCTGGCCATGTCCCAGCTGGTGGAATGCGTCCCCAACTTTTCGGAGGGGAGGAACCAGGAGGTGAGGCCCCGAGGAGCTGGTCAAGCATCCAGGGCCCACGGGGCAGCTTCAGTGGCTGAGGCCCAGGCCGTGGAGGAGGCGGCGGGCTTGGTGGGGGGGACATCTTCCCAGGATGGGCGAAGCCGCTGCCCGTGGGCCCCAAGGACACCCCGTGACTGGGGGCGCCTCGGGAGTGCCTGAGCCAGGGGTGGGTGGAACACGACTGGTGCTTGTAGGGGCTGAGGCCCGGCGGTGGCTCCAGCGGCCTTTTGGGTGCTTCTGGTGGGGGGTTGGGCCAATCTCTGGGCCTCAAAGGGCCTTGGTGCTCCCCCCCCGGGAATGGGGCTCCTGCCACCGACCGAAAGGGCTGCCTGAGGTCACACGGGGTTGCCCAGTGTGGTCCCCACCACCGCCACTCCATCTCCACCGGAGTTAGCTTGCTGAGCCCCCACCCTGCAGCCACCATCCCCACTGGACCTAAAATGAAGTAGGCACAGAGGGGGCAGCAGGCCCCCAGGTCCGGCCTCTCGCCCCCCACAGCCCTGAGGTCCAGGCTCTTCCAGGACAAGCGCAGGCCCCAAGGGCCACCTGGAAGCCCCCAGAGGGCAACACTGGGCCACAGGGGTCACCTGCAGGGGTGCAGGGAGGCCTCGTCACGCCAGGATTCCAGCCACCAAGCACCAAGGCCCTGGGACAGGGCAAGATTTGGGGCTGAGCCCCTGCTCCCAGCCGTCCTGTCACGCAGAAGGTTCCAGGCCCCTCCCCTGCTCGGGAGTTGCGGGTCCTGGCCCCTCTGTGACCTGTGCCTGTGGTCACCTTCTTGGTTCCCCAGTCATACCTCCGGCATCTGTCAGGGCAGAGCCCGTGAGTCTCTACTGGAGGCACCACCTGCAGCCCCTCGTGGGGACCATGCTTGGGCCTGAGCAACTGTGGCCTCTGTGAGGGTTTCTGGGCGGCCACTGTGTGCAGGCACTTTTGGTGGGAGCTCAGCTTGTCAGAGAGCCCCCAAAGGCCCCCATTTGGGTGTCTGGGCACAGCCACCTCCAAGCTCCTTTTCCTTCTTTCAAACGGGGAGACTGAGGTGTGGGGGCTGGGCCTGTGTCCCAGGTGATCGAGGCCATCTCTGGAGCCATTACACAGACCCCCGGCTGCGTGCTGCTGGATGTGGACGCAGGCCCCTCCACCAACCGCACCGTGTACACCTTCGTGGGGCCGCCGGACTGCGTGGTGGAGGGGGCCCTCAACGCCGCCCGGGCAGCCTCCCAGCTGATCGACATGAGCAGGCACCAAGGTGAGGGCTCCAGGCTCTCCTGCGGCCGCTGTGTGTTGGACTGTCGGGGCTGAGGCCCGTCCTGGTGTCCTGGGAGAGGGGGTAGACCCGGGGCCCAGGCTTGGAACGTGGGATCCAGCGGGGCTGACTCTGGCTCTCCTAGGAGGACCCTGGAGTGTGGGGGTCATGGCCCCCAACCTGCCTGCAGGGCTGTGCTCTGGGGGACCCCCAGGTTGCCACGCTTCTGCAGCACCGGGCCACCTTCATGGCTGGGTGGGGGGAGGGGGCCACGCCGGGGACCTGCCCACACGTCAGGGGGGCTGAGAGCCGGTCTTGGATCAGGCACTGGTCGGGGAAGGGCTGCCCGGAAGCTGACATGTCAACAGCCCACAAGCCAAACACCTCAGTGGGCGGGCAGGGCCAAAGGTGTGTGGACACAGGGGCGCTGGCTAGGGGCTGGGCCGTGGGTCACTCATGAGAGGCCAGGGATTCACAGTGATCCCGAGGGGTGGATGGATGAGAAGCTTATCTCAAAGTGACCAGCCCTGGGCGGTGGCAGCAAAGGCGGGGGAGGCTGGCATCCCCTGGGGTGGGCACTGACCCACGGCTTGGTGTAGCCACAGCGAGAGACTCAGCTAGTGAGAAGAATGTTCTGGAAATGCCGTGTGGATTCTGGGCTTCAGGGGAGGGGGCTGGGGTGGCCAGAACCCAGCCTCGAGCGCCCACTCTTGGCCTGGTTAGGGCTTCATGAGAGCTGAGCTTTGCAGGCCTTAGAAAGTTATTTATGTGCGTTAGGAGAGGGAGAGGTTTATCTCAGAGATGCCAGACCACCCACTCAGGCTGCTGCTGGTCCTGGGCTGAGCGGCCTCCCCCACACGGCCTGGGAGGACGGTGCAGGGACATCCGGTGTCCCGGGAGGGACTGGTGCTGCTGCTGGGGCGGGGCTGGGAGCGCCCAGGGCCGGCCTCCTCCCTGTGGTCAGTGTGAGCAGCTCGCTGGGTGTGTGGACTGGGGGGCTGCCCAGGCCGGAGGGGACAGAGGGTCCGAGAACCCCGTGGAGCTCCCACCCACTTCCATGCCTGGCCTCCTGCCCAGCCTCGCCATCTCTCTGCAGGGGAGCACCCCCGCATGGGGGCCCTGGACGTCTGCCCCTTCATTCCCGTGAGGGGCGTCAGCATGGACGAGTGTGTGCTCTGTGCCCAGGCCTTTGGCCAGCGGCTGGCAGAGGAGCTGGACGTGCCAGGTGAGTGTGCCCCACCCTCCTTGCTCCACTCCTGTCTCATTGGTGCGGGTTACTGGCTCCTTCTGTATCCCGCAGTTCCCTGCCCTTGGCTGCTCCTGCAAGGGCAGAGTGTTACAAACAGCCAACATGCAGAAGCACAGCTCCCTCAATACCAAAATCAACGCAGCCTCCCTCAATACCGAAACAACACAGCCTCCCTCAATACCGAAATCAACGCAGCCTCCCTCAATACCGAAATCAACAATACAAAATCAACGCAGCCTCCCTCAATACCGAAATCATCCATCTGAGGCAGAGAACGGGCACTCCCTGTGAGAGGGTGCAGTGGGGGCCCATTCCCAGGTTTAGGCTTGAGGGAGCCCCTCCACCTGGGTCCTCCAGGAACTGAGTCCTGGACCCCCTGCCGGTCAAGGCCTGACCGCCGGGCTCTCCTGCAGTGTACCTGTATGGTGAGGCTGCCAGGACGGACAGTCGCCGGACCCTGCCGGCCATCCGGGCCGGGGAGTACGAGGCCCTCCCTAAGAAGGTGCCCCCACCCTGGGTGGTCGGGCCTGGGAAGGAGGTGGACCTGCCCCTTTGTCCTGGCTGGGGCTGCTGGGCCGGGCCCCTCCCTCCCGTAGGGGATGTCTCACCCCAGGGCAAACTTGCCCACAGCTCCAGCAGGCCGAGTGGGCACCTGACTTTGGCCCCAGCTCCTTTGTCCCCAGCTGGGGGGCCACGGCCACGGGGGCGAGGAAGTTCCTCATCGCTTTCAACATCAACCTACTCAGCACGAAGGAGCAAGCCCACCGCATCGCGCTCAACCTGCGGGAGCAGGGCCGCGGGAAGGACCAGGTGACCCCGTTCACCAACCTCGTGGAGCCCCACCCAGCCCCTCGGGAAAGGGTCAGAGGCCAAGAGCCTCAGCTGGGGCGGTCGGTGGTGGACGGGGCACCGGCCAGACAGGGTTTGGTCTCCCACCTGCAGACTGGCCCAGCCTCCGCGTCCACAGCATGTGGGGACAGCGCAGGTCGGCAGGTCAGGGTGGAGTGGAGCTGGGGAGCTCCGGCCTCATGGGGGTTTTCATGGAAGAAGGCAGGGCTTCCCTCTGTTAACGTGGCAGGATTTCCATACTGCTGGGAAACAGTGACTTCCGGAATCCCAGGTGCCCTCAGGGGCCCCCCACATCCCTCCAGATGCCTTGGGAGCCCCGACACCCCTACAAATCTTCAGGTGCCCCCGGGCCTTTCCCTCCAAGTCTACATAGCAGTGGTCACCCAGTCTGAGCGTCACCCCTGCACCGATGGTATAGATACCTGGAGAAAGAGGTGGAGGGACCCCCTGCCCATCTGTTCCTCACTCAGAGACCCCAGTCCCACAGGCAGCAGAGGTGCTGGGGCCCAGCTTCCCGACCTGCAGACTCAGCACAAAAGCACAGGGGCCTCCAAGTCCTGCTTTAGGCCCCAGCCAAGGGCAGAGGCCAAAGTTCCCCCATGTGGACTTAGTCACCCCGAGGAGTGCGGGGCTGAGGGGATGGGGGAGCAGATGGGATGGGAGAATGGCATGGGGGTGCCTGGGGCCCCATCCCTCAGCATTCCCCCAACATCTAGGACGCAGCGTGGCTGGGAGGCAGGGCTTGGGCTGAGCGAGGGCCAGCCAGGGTGGGCGTCCGGTGTCTGACCCTTGGGGGCCTCCGTTTCCCTGTGGCAAGCAAAGTCACTCTGGCCCTCCCCGGTCAGCTCAGTGGGGTCGGAGGAGAACCACAGCACCCACCCAGGCACAGGTTCCTCCCTGTCCAGCTGGGGGACGCAAGCGCCAGGAGAGGTGGCAGGGCCAGGCAGGATGAGCTTCCTAGCCCAGGCTGGGAAATGCTTCTCCTTTGCAGCCAGGACGTCTGAAGAAGGTTCAGGGCATCGGCTGGTACCTGGACGAGAAGAACCTGGCTCAGGTGTCCACCAATCTCCTGGACTTTGAGGTCACGGCGCTGCACACGGTCTACGAGGAGACCTGCCGAGAAGCACAGGTGAGCCCGGGAGCAGCCACTGCTGCGGTGAGGGGTGCGCAGATCCGTCCCGTGGGCAGGGCAGGGGCCCCGCATCCTCCAGTCAGGGCCGTTCTCCAGCCAGCCCCCAGGTGGTGATGCTACCTGTGCCTCGGCAGGAGCTGAGCCTCCCGGTGGTGGGCTCACAGCTGGTGGGCCTGGTGCCCCTGAAGGCTCTGCTGGATGCGGCCGCCTTCTACTGCGAGAAGGAGAACCTCTTCATCCTGGAGGAGGAGCAGCGGATCAGGCTGGTGGGCCGGGCTGCTGAGGAAGGGTCGGACAGGGGCATGCGGGGAGGGTGGGGAGGCGGCAGAGCTCACACCCCTGGGGCGCAGCGTCCCTCCCCCTCCTCCCCCTTCATTTTATTGACTTGTGTTCAGAAGATGAGATTCACTTTTCATTTTGGAAACCTTATTGAGGTTTTTTTGTGACCTATGATATACTCACTTGTGCAAATTCCATGGAGAGGACAGCCCCCTTTCTGCTGGGTCCTGCCTCCTGGGCCAGCTGTGCTCCCGTGGAGGGGCCTGTGCCTCCTCTCACCACCTCCATCGGGGCTCCCTGCACCCCTGGAACTGGCGGCTTACAGGTGTGTGTGCCTCCAGCTATGGGACTCAGATCCCTGTCCACGGGGCGGTTCCTTCAGAAAGTGACTCGCTTGGTCCTGTGGACACCTGGACCTCAAGGCTCCTGGAGTCTGGGTTCCGGTGGGGCCCCAGGTCCTGCTGGGGTGTGGCAGTGTCTGCAGAGCCGCTCTCCACCTTGGTCTGTCCTTTCACTAGAGGTCACTTTGTTTTAGGTGTGTTTTTCGAAATAAGCACAACGCACTTGACTGGATTTTTTGGAGAGGTTTTGTCTTTTGGTGTTGGGTTTTTACCGTTTGTGTTTTTACTGATTTAGCTCTTGTGACTTGTGGATTCCGTCCTTGTTTAGTCTCAGGCATATTTTCTTCTGTTAGATCGCTGACCCAGTTATGTAGTTCTCTAGCTGTAGCGACACTGTGATGCTGCAGCAGCTGTGATGTCTTCTCTGCCTCCGTCACGCCTTTCCTCTGGATTCACAGTGGTTTTCCGAAACCCAATCACTGGTACATTTGTGGCCTAGTCTATTGTATTCCCGGCTGTTAACAATTTTTTTTGTGACTTTAAATTTTGTATAATTTTCTTACAGAGAAGATATGGGTGGCCCTCCACTCCTGCCTTCTGCCCATATTTTCCAAGTGCTTGCATCTTGCCCCATTTGTGTAGAATAATATTTTTTTCTGGACTATTTAAAAGTTGGGTTGAAGACATTGTGCTCTTTTACTCCTAATTTATTAAGGTTGTGTTTCTTAAGAACAGGGACATTCTCTTACATAACCACAGTGTAATTATCAAAATCGAGAAATTCAACACTGATACAATCCTAGTACCTAATAATCCTCAGACCATAACCAAATTGCTTCAGTGTCCCAGTGATTCCCGTCATAGCAATTTCTCCTCCAATCCACGATCCAGCTCATGTAACACAGAGCATTGAGCTCACCTTTTCTCCTTTCATCCCGAACTGTTCCTGTCTTCCTTGCCCTTCACTGACCTTGACATAGTTTAAAAGGACAGACTTTTAAAACCGCCTCCGTGGGGACTAGTCTGATGTTGCTTGTGGCCAGATGTAGTTGTGCATTTTTATTTTAATTTCTTAACTTTTTTGAGACAGGGTCTTCCTCTGTCGCCCGGCTGGAGTACAGTGGCACAATCACAGCTCACTGCAGCCTCAAACTCCAGGGCTCAGTTGATCTTCCCACCTCAGCCTCCCAAAGTGCTGGGATTACAGGCCGTACCACTAGGTAGACCTGGCTAATTTCGCACAGATGGGGTTTTGCTCTATTGCCCAGGCTGGTCTCAAACTCCTGGACTCAAGCAATCCACTCACGTCAGCCTCCCAAAAGTGTTGGGACGACAAGTGTGCACCACCACGCCAAGCCAGTTACTTATTTTTGGCAGGAAAAGCATAGATGGTGTTGTTTCCTCCCCACAATGCACATTTTCTCAGGGTGCTGACGTGGTCCAGTCACTTGGCCAAGGCGGCCCCTTCCTCCTGGGCCCTTCGCTGCAATGTTACTGTTTTTCCCTTTTGCAATTAATACATTGTGGGGAGTACTTGAAGGTGTTTAAAGTATTGAGTAGGTAGAGAAATACCTGTTATCTACTGAAATTCCAGCGTTTTAGGAGCCAGTGACAGTGTTCTAACGTCATCCTGTCTCTAAGCAGCAGCTATCGCTTCTCCACATTTCCTTGTCGTTTTATGTGTGAGGCCCTCTGCTTTCCAGCATGGGGTTTTGTCATCGTCATCGTCTTCTTTCTACTTTCTTCTTTCGTCCTTCTTCTTCTCCTCCTTCTCCTTCTTCTTCTCCTTCTTCTTCTCCTTCTCCTCCTCCTCCTCCTCCTTCTCCTCCTCCTCCTTCTCCTCCTCCTCCTCCTCCCTTTTCCTCCTCCCTTCTCCTCCTCCTCCTTCCTTCTTCCTTCTCCTTCCTTCTCCTCCTCCCTTCTTCCTTCTCCTCTTCCTCTTCTCCTTCCTTCTTCCTCTCTTCCTCTCCTTCTTCCTTCTCCTTCTTCCTCTCCTTCTTCCTCTTCTTCTTCCTTTCTTCTTCTTCTTCCTTCTTCTTTCCCCTTCCTTCTTTCTTCTTTCTTTTTCCTTCCTTCTTTCTTCTTCTTCCTTCTTTCTTCTTCTTCCTTCTTTCTTCTTCTTCCTTCTTCTTCTTCCTTCTTCCTGCTTTCTTCTTTCTTCTTCCTTCTTTCTTCTTCCTTCTTCCTTCTTTCTTCTTTTTCTTCTTCCTTCTTCTTTCTTCTTCTTCTTCCTTCTTCTTTCTTCTTCCTTCTTCTTTCTTCTTCCTTCCTTCTTTCTTCTTCCTTCTTCTTCCTTCTTTCTTCCTTCTTTCTTCTTCTTTCTTCTTCTTTCTTCTTCCTTCTTCTTCTTTCTTCTTCCTTCTTCTTTTTCTTTCTTCTTCCTTCTTCTTCCTTTCTTCTTCTTCCTTCTTTCTTCTTCTTCTTTCTTCTTCCTTCTTCTTCTTCCTTCTTCTTCCTTCTTTCTTCTTCTTCTTTCTTCCTTCTTCCTTCTTCTTCCTTCTTCCTCCTTCTTTCTTCTTCCTTCTTCCTTCTTTCTTCTTCCATCTTTCTTCTTCCTTCTTCTTCCTCCTTCATCTTCCTCCTTCTTCTTCCTTTTTTCCCTTCTTCTTCTTCTTCTTTGTCTTCTTCTTCTTCTTCTGAGTCGTCTTTTTCTTCTTCTACTTCTTCTTCTTCTGAGTCTTCTTCTTCTTCTGAGTCTTCTTCTGAGTCTTCTTCTGAGTCTTCTTCTGAGTCTTGCTGTCACCCAGGCTGGAGTGCAGTGGTGCGATCTCGGCTCATGGCAACCTCCACCTACCAGGTTGAAGCAATTCTCTGCCTCAGCCTCTGGGAGGGAGTAGCTGGGATTACAGGCATGTGCCACTGTGCCCAGCTAATTTTTGTGTTTTCTTTTAGTAGAGATGGGGTTTCACCATCTTGGCCAGGCTGGTCTTCAACTCCTGACCTCGTGATCACCCACCTTGACCTCCCAAAGTGCTGGGATTACAGGCGTGAGCTGCCGTGACCAGCTGGAGTTTTGTCTTCTTTACCCGAAGGACCCCATGCCTGCGACCTGCACAGGTCTGGCTGTGCCGGTGGCTGTGTGCTGCCTCCTGGTGGTGAGGCTGCTTTGCTTTGTGTTGTGTGATTTTTGATTGCGAGTGCATGCTCTTTGGAATTGTATCTATGGTAGTTCTTGGTCACCGGGGTTCAAAGTTTTCGTCTCCAAGGAGGCTTTGTGCTGGCGCTTGTGGACACTGCCTCAAAGGACCCCTGAAGCCAAGTTTTTGGCTTGGAGCTCTGGAACCGCAGAAGAGTGAATTCGGTGTCGGGTGAGGCCTGTAGCCCTGTGAGGGTGGCTTGTGGTTAGGAATTCACAAGAGATTTTTTTTTTCTTTTCCTGCTTCACCCAAAGGGAATGCAGGAACTGGGAAGTACCTCAACTGTTCACTCTGGCAGGTGGCTGTTTCTAATTCATCCTTGGGGATGTCACTTTCCAGGGGTCTCCAGTCCGACCCCACTCTGAAGGCCCGAGACCTCCCCCACTCATGAGGGGCTGCCAGAGCGGGGCAGTTGCCCCCAGGGCGGACCCAGCTCCAGGCTGACAGGCTGTTCCAGACTCACCTTTCTGGTCGTGTCTGGTCTCCAATGATGTCCTGTCTGCTAGCTTAGCCAGGCCTTTAAAACGCCCCACATCTCCCTGGGGTTTTCTGCCAAAGGAGGCTTTGCCTTGCCGCTTGCTGGTTCTATGGCCACAGGGAGGTGCTCTCCACCCCACCCGGCTGCTGTTCCTCTCTGTGGGGTGGGGGTCGCATAGCCAACGTGTTCTGAATGGGTTTCGCAGAGTGAATTCTAATCTTAAATGGGACTGTCACAACTTTATTTTGAATTTAGGTAAAATTCACTTTTCTGGCATACAAGTTTATGTGTGGGTGACTTAGGGCTGTTCTCAGCTTTTAAGGACTTGTTAGATGTGAAGACTTGGTGAATTAAAATCTTGCCCGCCCCTGTCAGCGATGGGCAAGTGGTGCGGTGGGAGGGGTCGAGTGGTGAGGAGTGGGGCGAGTGGTGGGGGGGCGGCGAGGGATGAGCAGCAGTTTGCTGTGGGGTCTCCAGGAGGCAACTCCTTTCTCTGGGCCTCGGTTTCCTCAAGGGCAACTCAGGGTGAGTGGCTGTTTCCAGAATCCTGTACAGAGGGCGTGCTGGGGCGGGGCCCACAGGGCTCCTGGTGGAGCAGAGGTGGGGGGTGAGGGGTGCCAGCCACGCCCCTGCCCTGCTCCCCGCAAAAGCGCCCATGTGCTCGGGGCAGGGGGCGGCTGCCGCAAGGGTGGGACCCGCGGGTTCCGAGGCTTTCCTGGTGGTGGAGACGCGCCGAGGCCGTTTCCACTCCAAGCCGCTTTTCTAGGTGGTGAGTCGGCTGGGCCTGGACTCCCTGTGTCCCTTCAGCCCTAAGGAGCGGATCATCGAGTGAGCCTCTGCCCTCCCGACCTCTTCTCACCCGTCCCGGGCTCTGCCTCCCTGGCCTTGCGGGGCGCTGGGGTCCCTGCGTGGAGACCCGGCTCATCCTCCCAGCGCCTCCCTTTGGGCACCTGCTCGGCCTGCGC